CACCACCACCTTGGTAACTGTAGCCTTACATGCCTGGATGCTGTTGTAACGAAAGTGAATGCTTTAACCACCATCACCTTGGTAACTGTAGCATGCCTGGATGCTGTTGTACAGTGAATGCTTTAACCACCATCACCTTGGTAACTGTAGCGTTACATGCCTGGATGCTGTTGTACGAGTGAATGCTTTAACCACCACCACCTTGGTAACTGTAGGGTTACATGCCTGGATGCTGTTGTACAAGTGAATGCTTTAACCACCATCACCTTGGTAACTGTAGGGTTACATGCCTGGATGCTGTTGTACAAGTGAATGCTTTAACCACCATCACCTTGGTAACTGTAGGGTTACATGCCTGGATGCCTGTGCTGGTAACTGTATGCGGATGCTGTTGCAATGAATGCTTTAACCACCACCACCTTGGTAACTGTAGGGTTACATGCCTGGATGCTGTTGTACGAGTGAATGCTTTAACCACCACCACCTTGGTAACTGTAGGGTTACATGCCTGGATGCTGTTGTACGAGTGAATGCTTTAACCACCACCACCTTGGTAACTGTAGGGTTACATGCCTGGATGCTGTTGTACGAGTGAATGCTTTAACCACCACCACCTTGGTAACTGTAGGGTTACATGCCTGGATGCTGTTGTACAGTGAATGCTTTAACCACCACCACCACCTTGGTAACTGTAGGGTTACATGCCTGGATGCTGTTGTACGCAGTGAATGCTTTAACCACCACAACCACCTTGGTAACTGTAGGGTTACATGCCTGGATGCTGTTGTACAGTGAATGCTTTAACCACCACAACCACCTTGGTAACTGTAGGGTTACATGCCTGGATGCTGTTGTACAAGTGAATGCTTTAACCACCATCACCTTGGTAACTGTAGGGTTACATGCCTGGATGCTGTTGTACAAGTGAATGCTTTAACCACCATCACCTTGGTAACTGTAGGGTTACATGCCTGGATGCTGTTGTACGAGTGAATGCTTTAACCACTACCACCTTGGTAACTGTAGGGTTACATGGCTGGATGCTGTTGTACAAGTGAATGCTTTAACCACAATCACCTTGGTAACTGTAGGGTTACATGGCTGGATGCTATTGTACAAGTGAATGCTTTAACCACCACAACCACCTTGGTAACTGTAGGGTTACATGCCTGGATGCTGTTGTACGAGTGAATGCTTTAACCACCACCACCTTGGTAACTGTAGGGTTACATGCCTGGATGCTGTTGTATGAGTGAATGCTTTAACCACCACAACCACCTTGGTAACTGTAGGGTTACATGGCTGGATGCTGTTGTACAAAGCGATTGTAGTGGTAACAGAGACCATATAATAGAGGTTTCTGGGGCTAAGGTGATCGTAATTCCTACACCTTAACATAGACTTACTACTGGCCTAGCGCTAAGGTGATCGTAATTCCTACACCTTAACATAGACTTACTACTGGCCTAGCACTAAGGTGATCGTAATTCCTACACCTGAACATAGACTTACTACTGGCCTAGCACTAAGGTGATCGTAATTCCTACACCTGAACATAGACTTACTACTGGCCTAGCACTAAGGTGATCGTAATTCCTACACCTGAACATAGACTTACTACTGGCCTAGCACTAAGGTGATCGTAATTCCTACACCTGAACATAGACTTACTACTGGCCTAGCACTAAGGTGATCGTAATTCCTACACCTTAACATAGACTTACTACTGGCCTAGCACTAAGGTGATCGTAATTCCTACACCTTAACATAGACTTACTACTGGCCTAGCACTAAGGTGATCGTAATTCCTACACCTGAACATAGACTTACTACTGGCCTAGCACTAAGGTCGCTTTGTACAACGGCACCCAGGTAGGGTAAGAACTAATGGTTTGTCTGGTCCAGACTTGACCTTAGACTTGGGACATAGCTGGAAGGTGCTAATGAAGCATATAGCAACAATTGCAGGTACATTCTGGATGCAAGATAACATGAATTCTGTATGAATGGAGCCCTATCTTTTATTGTATTCATCAGTCTACAGTGAACTAGAGAAATAGGCAGTGTTTAAACAGTCACTGTTTAGCCCGACAATATAGCATGTTGGATGGCCAAAGATGAACTTTGGTTTTGTTTGCTGATACAGGGATGAAAATTAACCAAGAACGTCAAATTTATATGGAGTTGTTTGTTTCTGTGAGATTTGTTTGTTCAGAGACTAAGCTTTTGTCAACTTGTAACCCTTGGTTATCTTTAACATTAACAAACAGGTCTGTGTTGGCGTGTCAGTGATAATTTATATCCTTGTGTTGAAAAGAATTACTTGTGTGGCCAAATTAACCTTCCTAACACATTGGTCAACTTGAAAACAGAAAACTAGCTATTTTGTTGCCATCCATGGCCATGGTGCCAGTGATTTGTCTTCTTCAAAGATCAGGCTTGTCTGCTATGGTTCAGGGGTAAGGTAGAGATCCATGTTTAATTCCATGATCTCTCTGTTTGGCTGTCCATAGGAATTGTATGCATTGCTTGAAGGTTTTGCATTGAAATACCATATGTAGCTCGGGGTGAATAGTTAAAGAAAGGTCACGTTTGATCTTCAGTCTACCTGTTGTCTTGTGAAGCTCATAGTTTCTGTAGATTCTTTACAGTTATGCTAGTCACTGAGTTGAGAAAGATGGCACTCAGCATTTAGGGGGATAAGGTCAGGTTGGAGTTTATGAAAAATTGTGGGTATATTTTGTTGTAATCACTGGATTAAGGTTTAGGATACATTGGAATGGGTGGAAGTGTATTCTAGAATTTGTGTATATTTTGTTGTAGTCACTGGATTAAGGCTTAGTATGTAGGGGATAGGGTTGAAGTATTTTCTTGGATGGTAGTATTACTTGTTGCATTCATCATGTTAAAGTCAAGGATGTACACGATGGGGTTAAGGAGAATGTTTCGAAGGTGGAGATGCAGATGCCTTCAAGGATGCCTGTATGTCATTAAAATGGTTGCTAGGTTAATTGATGTGCAAGGAATGGGTTATTGATGGGCCAGATTGATGCAGTGTGTGTTTAGGTGAGCCTGATACACCTGCTGGTGGTCATTCCTTGGACCAGGGATGAGGAGTGAGAGGATGTAGAACTTGACAGTAGTTATTGTTATAAGAAAGTTAAGCAGGATAAGTGTTTCAGTCATGATTGAAGCTTAATTATTTTCATATCACTTTAGTGACTCTTGCCTTCCCTATCATTATGTTATGGTTAATGCTGCACTAGAGTGTCTTGGTTTATATGTTTGCTTAAAATACTGTTTTTCCTTTAAACAGTGCTGGGTATCTAATAAGCGCTGAGCCTCATATAAGTGTTTAAGATATAATTCAGAAGTCTGTTGAAAAAATAAGATCCCAGTCGTTTATTAGAGTAAACGTTTTTTGTTTTCCAAATATGCTTAGTTGAAAGTAAAAATATAATTTTAAAAACATAATTCCTTTAATTGACCTTATAAATGTAGATTACTATTTTTTGTGATCCTGGTGATCATCTCCAGCATGATCCTCTACTACGTGGAATCAGAATTTGGATTTATTTTGAATCAAAATTGCAAAGAAGTGGGAGATGAAGGATTCAGATTCACCAAGTGGCAAATGGACCTTATTCCTTAGTAATCATAGAACTCGGCTGACCATTACCGCCATACTTTAACAATTTCGAAAAGTCATGGCAGGAAGAATTCTTGTGGAATGATCTCAGATGGTGTAGCTGCTGGGATGACCTAGATGACCTTGAGATGGCCTGCATCAGTAAAGGATGTCCAGCACCTCAAGCATATCTCTCCCTGATGGTGGTCAAGAGGCTCTCCTTCATGTTGAGGAGAACACTTGAGGAACTTCATCCAGGACTGACCACTGGTTCATTGGTGGAGAGGTCGAGCTGTCACCAGACCAAGATGAAGGAGAACATTTTTTTAACCTTAGGCCAGACCAAGTTTATTCCTTGTTTTACAGATATTTGTCCTTAGAAAACCTAAAGGCAGGGGGAAAAAAATAACAACAAACTTTCTATAGGGTGTATGTTTTTCAAATTGAATATTGTTATGTTGAATGTTTTTTTTTTTATAGATTTCCTTACTTTGTAACTGAACCATGTCTGAATCTGACGGTTCAATGTTGACAGAATTTAAGGGTTTTCATTGGGATTTTCTTCTCAGGATATATCAGTCTGTGAAAATGCTCATATTTCAGAGAATTTAGTAAATCATGACCTGCTAATGATAAATAGCCTTTCCACTGTTCAACATGTGTCTCTATATGACTTACATCTATCTCTCATGTAAATGTATGCTTTCATGTTGCCATTAGCTTGTAGAGGACTCTGCTAAGGAATGGTGAATGGTGCCTGGACAGCGGATCAGTTCAGTGATAGTTTATGGCTCTGTGGTCAGTTGTATCTTGTATTTAAAGATCTCATCTTTATGCTCTGAAAAAGACCGTGATATCACTTGAATCAATCTCAAGATTTGTACTGGGCCTCTGATTTTGCCAGAGGTTGACATCTCAAGATTTGTACTGGGCCTCTGATTTTGCCAGATGTTGACATACACGGTTGCATGTATAAATTTTAGATCCAATAGTGGAATGAAACAATAGTCAAATTTTACATATCTGTTTTGTATGTTAATCCTGTAATAATGTTATATTTATTCTTTGACTGAAGATGATGTAATTTTCAGAAACTTGTTTCAGACAGTTCAGGAATATGTCACTTTTTTGTGAAAGATTTGTGTTAAAGTGATGTATTTCCCTTACTTTCTCTCTAAATAACTTATACCATTAGTTTATTTAGTGGCTTGTAGTAAGAGGTCAATGACAGGTGTGTTTGTTTTTAATGCAGTCTTTATCTGGAAACATCCTTGTGACTCATGGACACATGCTGATGATATACCAAATGGAGTCTGTTTTTAGCAAATTTTCTGAAGATTATGCTCTCATCTACAATTTTGTATGTTTTCAGAAGGAAGATGAGTAATGGCGGTGCCTGGATGGAAGCTTGAGCGACAGGTCAGTGAAAGTTCCGTCGAAAGTTTAAAGACTCTAAATGAAGACCTTCGCACCCACCTGGCGAAACTTCGCAACCAGTTGGACCTTCAGAGAGGCAATGTCAAGCAGGTCCACTGGCAGAAGGTGTTGGACATCCGCATGGTCCGAGAACAGGAGCAACAGAAACACCTGGCCACCATAGCTGACCTCCAGACCAAGTTTCAGGCCGAAAAGTCACGTGAACTTGAAAACCAACGCGAACAGCTTCAGCAGAAACATGAACATGACCTTCAGAAATTTACAAGGATGAAGGAGACGGAAGTCACCAAGCTGAGGCATGAACTGGAACAGAAGGAATCTCTTCTGCATCGGTACATCAGCGAGACCAGGAGAGAATCTCTTCGGCTGTCTCAAGATGGAAGGAAATCAAAACTGTTGCATGAACTCAGTGATTTACGGAGTACCAAGAAGCAGCTTGAGGACTCGCTGACCTCGGCAAGTGAGGCAGAGAGGCAGTATTGCCGGCAGTTGCGCAAAACAGCAGAACATTACCAGTCGGAGGTCGTGAGGGTCAAGCGTGAAGCATACATAGAAATACGGCACCTGGTAAGTCAAAGTGTCACACATGTCCTGGATGTTTTGTTGTTGTTGTCGTCCTGTCATCCCTGTATGTGATGTTGTGGTCACTAATCACAGAAAATTATGCAGTACATGGGTACCAGATAGGATGGGATGGTGTCTATCTAGTGTCTCACTGGCAGCCTCTATTGTATACCACCCGTGGACATCCGGGTTAGAATTGGTCTTCAGTAAGCCTTGCTTGTTGTAAGAGGCGACTAATGGGATCGGGTGGTCAGGCTCGCTGACATGGTTGACACATCTCATTGTATCCCAGTTGTGTAGATCGATGCTCATGCTGTTGATCACTGGAATGTCTGGTCCATTTATTTACAGACCGCCGCCATATAGCTGGAATATTGCTGAGTGCGGAGTAAAACTAAAGTCACTGTATTGTATGCTCTCCAGGGAGATGAAAAAGATAATCAGGTGAATACTGATACATTGACCAGGGTATTAATAGCTTCAATAGATTGGCTGTATAACACATTACAGGTATCCATTTTGTGTTGGTATTATTACTTTTTTGATCTCTGTATTGTGAGAACGGAAATACTTAGGGACCGTTCATAATTTATGGCTGGTGGGGGTGATGATGATTTTAAGGGGGGTCACACATTTTGTTCTGGGGATATAGGGGGTCTTCAATTTTGTACACATGTTTTTAGGGGGTCAGCAATTTTGTACATAAAAATATTTTAAAATTATGTTTAAAAAATATTGGAAGTGGGGGGTCATTGATTTTGTACATGACATGCGGGAGGGTCACTTACTTTGTGCATAAGTTTTAGGGGGGGTCATTCACATTGTACATGCTTCTCCATAAAAATCATCACATCCCCTGGCCATAAATTATGAATGGTCCCTTAGTTTGTATGAGAGCCATGAGATACAATGATCAGAGTATGTACTGAAGGTTTTCAGACAAATTGTTTGTACAGATAACGTTGCATTATGTGATTTTTAGGCCATTGCTTCATAACTTAAGTAGATAAAGATTCTTCTGAAGGGAGAATTCAATTTTCAGTAATGTTCTTACACTGTATTACATCTGAGTTTTCAGGTCATTTACTTCTTAAGGATACATCATGAAACACTGACTTCTAACTTGGGAGGATTTTCATCAAATGGTTGGCATAATAAGCCCAAAGTGTAACTATCGCGTCTATAGGGCTTATAATCATTTCCTCTGTAGTTGAAGGGAGTGGTTTCAGTCACTGATGGTGGTAGGGTGCATGAATGGTGATAATAAGATATTGTAGCTTTATGATGGTTGTATGAGAAATACAGTTGACACCCGACTGCAGTGATTGACAGTGTCTGCAGTGCATCTATCAACAATCTCTTGGTCATCACAAATCCATACCCCCTCAGGGACTCATAGTGTGTCTCACAGTCCCTGAACCACATTATTTTCCCTACTGCTAAGCCCTCTCTGCAGTGCTAAAGCCCTAAATAAAGCAAGTCTAGATTTCCTCAGGTTCAGGATCTCTGGTCTCCCTGGGGCTCCTTTTCAATATAAATGGGCTTGTTTGTTACTATCAAAATTATATATATTCAGAGACTAAGCCTTAGTCTAAGGGACTATTGCTGGAATATTTGCTGAAAGACCGGGTTCGATTCCCACATTTCTGGTGTTCCTCGCTGTGATATTGCTGGAATATTGCTGAAAGTGTCGTAAAACCATACTTACTTAACCATATCCACTCACTGTCCATTGAATCCCTATTTTGTTGCAAGCGTCTAGTAGTGGATACCCTTCTGTTTGGCATTGGGATCCCTAGACTAGTAAAATGATTTTGTAACAAAAAGATACAGATTATAGGATACATTTGTTGTTGTATTCTAACAAATGTAACTGTCAAATGCTTCCAGTTATGGCCGATTGTATCTAATGAAGAATTTGACATTGGAATTAATTGGCTTCATAGGTACAGGTTAACCCATAATGTTTCAGGAACGTGTACTATACATCCACACTTTCATCTCATTCACAGAGTTTGGAATAAGTGGAAAATGAACCAGTTGGGCCAAACCAGTTATTTCAGGTTTTTACAAATGTCAACAAGTTTTTTGAAAGGTGAAAAATACCTTTGTAGAACTTACTACTAATATGAATGAAATTTCATTTAAGAAAATTACTGGTATCGACGTTTCAGTTTTGATTACTTGTTTTATATTTTAATTTTTTCTTGGTATTTAGGAGCTAACTAATAAAGAGAATGACTTAATTTGGTTTCCGCATGAAGTCCATTAAATATCAGTGGATGAAGACTAATTATCTAGATGTGAAGTTTGAATGCAAAAACCTTGATTATCTGAATATGAATAATAAGAGCAAAAGTCATTAATATCTGGGTGTGAATAGCTGGTTACCATGATTATCCACATGTAAATAGTCTGTGCAAAAGCCAGCACTTGATGAGATACACCATCATCACAAAGTTATAATCAGTAAGATGTAATACGGCTATCGTACTTCCTCCACAAGGTGAGATAGAGAGGAAGACCACTTCCTCCAGAAACTCCCACCTCTCACTGTAGGTGCACACTAGGGAATCAGAGAGTATGAAGTCAGCATGTTTCCTCCGATATCTCCTACATCAATCAGTTCTCGGTCCCTGCCTCCCCAAACTATTCATCTTTACATCTTCATCTCTGACAGATCTATGTCACCCATGACAGATCTACCTCAGCTCTGACAGATCTCACATGCATCTATATCTCAGAACACTAACATTAAGTAGACTTGTATACATTTGGAAATGACCTTTGGTGCTGGTACTGGGACCACAACAGGTGCTTGCTTAGGGTTGAAGATGGATGGGAAACTTGTGACTTTTCATCATGTGTGTGAAGCTTGTTTTGAGGAGATGATCTATATACCGTTCATTCACATCTCTGGCAACTTTTATGTCTATTTCTAATGTCTTTTGTACTTACAAGGTGAAATGGCGCTTTAGGGTTTGTGATTATATACCCTATTATCATTATTGTCATTATTATCATTATTATCATTATTCTAAACTTTGAGATGAATGTAGTTCAGAAGTCGGAATACATTTTTCTAGTATGGCATCGATTTACAAAACAAATTTATATATCTTTATGAAATGGGAACAGGTCAAAAGGGCCGCATGACAAAAGGGCCCCAAAACGGTAAAGTCAAAAGGGCTACAAGAAAGTCAAAAGGGCCGCAAACCCCTAGTCAAAAGGGCCGCATCAAAAAGTCAAAAGGGCCCCATATAAAAAAAATAATAACATCTTTTTTTAAAAGTGTATTATAGTAAAAGGTTATATACATCAATACAATGTATACTTTATGCATACTAGTTCAGTTTTTAATAACATTGTTTTTTCAATATTTGAAAGAAAATGCTGACAAAGAATAGATGTATGTGAGGGGTATTTGTTTCATCAAAGCATAAAACATCATTTATGATTATGACAAATACTTTGACTGAGAAATGCATTGAACACAACACACAGAGTTTGAACAATTTGAAAGTTATGTACCTTTCCTGTGGTTCTTTAACAGGTAGAAAGAGAATTATGTCACTTTGTGAAAGTTTAGGTCAGCTAAACTAAACTGCCAGGTGAAAGAAAGTATCCACTTGAAATTAGATTTGATAAAAAAATGACAATGTTATCTAAACTTCATCAAGTTGAAAACACCCAATGGGACATTGCAGACTTAAGGTCCAGAAATCAAGTATAATACTGATATCTAATACAATTCAACTGAACAACTATTTCATTCCATGTTTCATGGGGGCGGTTGGGTAGCCCAGTGGTTAAAGCGTTCGCTCGTCACGCCGAAGGCCCAGGTTCGATTCCCCACATGGGTACAACTTGTGAAGCCCATTTCTGGTGTCCCCCGCCGTGATATTGCTGGCATATTGCTAAAAAACGGTGTAAAACCATACCAATGTTTCATATTAAACCAACATCAAACATTCTTTTGCTCTGTAGATTAATGGAAAAAAAAGTTACAATATATAAAGTTAAATCCAAAATTATGTGTTACACTAAATATAGATCATTAGTTTTCCCATTTGACAAAATGAGCTTGATGTGACCTGTTATGCTTAACACAGTTGGTACACTGGCAGGTTAATCCAGAGTTGTAGCGTCACCTTTGTGTCCGAGACGACAAAGGTGATACATCTGGAGGGCACTGTGTAAACACCCTGAAGCATAAACTTTGGTTAGCCACTTCAGTGTGTGACTTGTTACTCTACAGCTAAGCTGGCATCAAAGATACATGTTGGCACAACAGTTTCTAACACATCACCATTACATTCATGGCGGCATTTCGCCACTTTTTGTACAAATGTTGACTTACCTATCTTAAAGTGAGTCAGTAAATGGTCCCTTTTAGGCATATTTGTTGTTTTTGTGAAAATTTGCCATTTTTCTATTTTGTGTATGAAAGTGGTCACTTCATTGACTGTAGCATCCATGGATCTCCTTGAGAAACATAATCTTGGCCCTATGACTGTTTTAAATTCCATATCTTAGCATTTACATATAAGGCCACTTATTAAAATACAATTTTTGCTCATTAATTTTGAAAAGAAATTTTGTTGAAGAGTATTAATGAATGTGGGACTTGTAATGAATAAAAATAGTGATTTAACTAATAAAGAACATGGCCATTTGGCCATTTATACAATGCAGCATGGGTGTATCAAAATGTGTGTTGTTTGATATTATTTGTACTTGATAATATGCATACTTACCAGCTAATTGGGCCAAAATAGAATAAATTGAAACACTAATGACTCTTGGGAATTGTACAATCAGTTAGAAGTAAACGGTTCATTTTACAGTGCTGTATTAGCTGAACAAGAGTGACAATCCCGATCCTAATGAAGATATTTCAGAAGTATTTTATCTTGAATGAAAGGCAGTTTGGTCATCATATTGAAAACCATGAGAAGAGGCCAAATTTGCATTCCTTCGTGATCTTTGTTATAACAGCGGTT